TAGTTAATAAAAATAATCTGGTTCGCTTTAAGTATAGTGAATGCCACTGCAGAGCCAAATTTAAGGCAAATGGGGAACTAGGGTTGCCGGGTCCCTACCTTTTCCCAGAGGGGGGGTTCCAGGCTTCTCTCCAGGATCACGTTGCACGTGTGCCATGATGATGCCACCCAGGTGCAACGTCATTGCACTAGGCATGTCACGGAGGGATGCTCTAGCGTTTGGCCGAAAAGTCTATGGCAGGGGTGGCCAAACTGCAGTTCGGGAGCCGCATGCGGCTCTTTCACACAGGCAAAGTTAATGTTAGTAAAAAGGAAATTGGCATATTTTAAAATAAAAACGTGTGTGCCATATTTGTTCATGTCTTGCAGCTCTCAAACATCTAACGTTTATTCTGTGTGGCTGTTAGTTAAGCAAGTTTGGCCAACCCTGCTCTATGGTCACCATAGAGTTTTTGGCCAAATGCTAGAGCATCCCCCACAATATGCCTGGCACGATGATGTCACCTCCGGGCGACATCATCGCACTGGGCATGTCAGGTGCTGTGGACCTCTTCAGGGGCGGGGTTCCCCTGCTGGCCAGTTGGCCAGTGGGTGGATCGGGGGGCTCGAAATTGGGGGAACCCCTGCCCCCATCAGGAGGATGGCAACCATATGGGGAACTGGGCAGACAGGAAGTTACAATGCAGAGGGGAAGGTAATACACACGTCTGTGACCAGTGATGGGTTGCAGCCAACTTCTGGCAACTCCATCGGGTATTCAAGGCAAGAGATCTACAGAGGTGGTTTGCCATTGCCTGCCTCTGAGTAGTGACCGTGGACTTCCTTGGTAGTCTCCCATCAAAGTACTACCAGGGCTGACCCTGCTTAACTTCCAAGATATGACAATGGTCTTATGGGAGTTCCCCTTTAGATGGTAACACATACTTCAAATACGAAGCAAAGAACCAACAATCAACAAGCTTATCTCATCCTGTCCCACCACCAAAGCTTGGTACTACCTGATGCTGTGCATAATTACTCAGTGGTGAGTTTCACTGTGCTCCTCAGGGCATGCTAACTACAGCCTGCATTTGCCCAGATTTTAACCCCAAAGGGCAGCCCTGGTGACACCATGGCCAGCAGAGCAAGTCTTCAGATCCTGACATTGATTGTCAAGGATGGTATTGAATGGGGAAAATACCCCTTTGTCTTTTTGAGTGTCCTAGTTTTATTTCATGCCTCTGGAGCAGTTCTCTGGGCGATCTCGCTGTAAGCTATCCATTTGCTCTCTGAATCATTTGAAACCAGTTTGCTAAATTAAGAAAATCCAGTAATTTGGGACTAATGTTTTGTTCACAGAGTGTGAGCTTTTGTAGGGGATTACCTACTTTATCAGATGCCTGTGGAACTGTTATCTGCATGGACTTTCAAAGGGATGTTCACACGGAAGGCTTAGATGGGGTTACAAAAACAAGATTACACACTGCTCTTAGAAAGTGAGAAAAAAGTAATTGGTTGATTGACACAAAGGATAAGAGCATTGTTTTTGCACCCTTGACTACAACCGTATATCACCCTTATTAGAGAATGTGCCTTTGAGAGTTCTTGCATACACATTCCACCGTCTGATTTCCTTGCATTGCAGCTAATTGTTCTATTGGCATCTGATGCACAAGGTAATAATCCACAGAAGATCACACTCTGTAAATAAATAAAAAATAGTGAGTCTAAAAGGTGCAGTGGGATTTTCTTAATATTATTTTCTATAAAGATGAACGTGGCCACACTTGCACAGCTGAGTGATATTATAACTTCAGAGCCAAGGGTTTATGGCCAAGGCAGGATGGAGAGTTTCACAGCTTCTTTAAAAGGTGTTGTATTATTCATTCATTCCGGGTTTGATTAATTTAACAAGGCTCCATTAGGAACGACGCTTACAGTACACATTTCTGACACAGAGAGAGAAGAGTTTCAGGTGATGATCGTGGGAGGTTAATGCTGGATTGGCACAGGAAAAAATTACAATTCATTAAAAACGGAGAAAATAGTACCCATGGCAGACTCTGAATCGTGGGCATGGAAAATTTGCAAACATTGTTAACACACTGTTATCCATAGCTGGGGATAAGGGCGTGACCAAATACAGGTTGGGATTTGTGAAACAGACACATGCAAGTGGGTAGCCGTGTTGGACTGAAGCAACAGAACATAGTCCGAGTCCGGTGACACCTTTAAGACCAACAAAGTTTTATCCAAGCTTATATGTTGAATAAAACTTTGTTGGCCTTAAAGGTACCACTGGACTCAAACTTCATTCTGTGAAAGAGACAGTGACTTAGCAATCTCAGGTAGAATGCAAGGATGCTAGCCAACTGGACTGAGTTCATCATCTCAACAGAGTGCAGGCTATTCAGACATAAAACACTATTTTCCTGTCACCCTCTGATTTATCTTGGATGATGTTGTAATGTATACAAGCAGCCTCTAGAGACACGTTTCTGCTTTGCATGTCTTTTAGTTTTTGGCCCTGCAGGGATCCTGTATGGCAGGGAGTGGCCAAGCAAGCTGATTGAGGGGCCAACTGAAAGAAGGCCCAGCCAGAGAGAGAATGGCTTAGAGAGCTAAATAAAAGCCCTTCTTATGTTAAAGCAAAGCTGGTATGCCCTGTTGTTCACGATACTACAGATGATATGGAAGCTGACAGAGCCAACTCATTGCTTATGGTGGTGAAACTCCACCCAAGACAGGAGCCATGAAACAAAGCATCTGGGAGGTGTGGCTCTGTGAGCCATGCACTATCCTTCCATCTCCTGGCTCTCGTACCTTCTACCTCCCTGTCCCACATTCTGACAATCAGTACAACTCTTCCAAACTCTGCGTAGAGTTGCAAAGGCCAAGCAACCAGTTGGAAGGCTGGAAGGGGGGATGCGCAGGGCTGCATGTGACGTCAAATGATTTTGCTAACATCACTTCCAGATAAAATCCAGAAGTGACAAGGATAGCTCTAGAAATTGCTGAAAACTTGTTGGGATTCTTTTAAGTAAGTCAGCAGAGTAAGTATTAAGAGACTGAGTCCATGGTGTGTATTAAAATATAAACGTTTACTATAAACCTAACATGGGAAAAAGGTACACAGGATATAAAATAACAAAGAGCTAATATGCCTACATCCTTACAGTTAAAAGGTAAAACGGGAATGGCCGGCGTCTTCTTCACAGTCAGAACAAAGAGAGGAAGAAGAAGCTAATATGCTAAATACTTGACACATTGGTTTCCAATCAAACTAGCAAGTTAGCTCCAAAGTTCCCGGGCATTCTATTGTCTAAACAGATTGGTTACAAACAAACATGTGACTTCCTGTTGATCATAACAAACATCATTAACCCTGTAAATACTGAAGTGTTTTGACTTGTAACACCCAACAAAACTCTATGATAAAGCTAGAGCTACCAGTCGATCCAGTTGATCTAATTTATTACAGCAAGAGCCAGTAAAACAATTCTGGTAGAGCTACCCTATATGTCATGTCTGGGTTTTACTCAGAAGTGATGCAGTGATGTCATGGACTCTTGAAGCAGTGATGGGAAACAGGACTTGCTGGTGGAAGGCTTTCTTCTATAGAGGAGGCCTGGCAAACCTACCTCTACAGCCTGCTTGATCTTCTCTACAAAGTCCTTTAGTTAGCATTCCCCTTTTGACCCCCTCACCAATAAGGAGCTCCCTAATTTTAACAGCAGCACTCTATGGTACTTCCTCCAACGCACACATTCCCCATTGCCCACTGAAACACATCCCTCAGCTCTTGGGCTGAAGGCTTCTGCTAGTTCCTTTTGAATGTGGCGCTCGACATGAGAATGTTGGTGTCTACATGTGTCTTGGCGATCACCGGATCAATAGTTTAAAAAAAAAAAACAGTCAAAGAAGGATCAATATTCAAGTCCACCCCTTGCAACGAATTAAGCCTGATGAGCAGCAAGAATCAGTGAGCCTTGAAATTAGGAGGCCTGCTTAGAACCTGCCTTGATAATCACTCTAAGTTCAGGGGTAATTTGCTCTGTTTTTCTGAGTCAGTGGAAAGCAACGGCTAGAAGTTGGAGGGCTTATTTCTCAGGGCTAGAGAAAGGAACATATGCAGTGACAGTTTAATAGGCCAGCAGGATCCGGGCGCAAGAGCACTTGGTCTAACAGAAGTATGGTGTGCTACGCCTTGTTTTAGTGGGCTGGAAAATATTTCATTTTATTCCCAGTAAAATCAAATAGCTATCATTTTCCGCACTGAAGATCATATATTGAATAATGGAAATGTAAGCTATTTTATCATTAGGTAGGGTTTCAAGTATCAGAGCAGCCATTTTCTCCAGGGGAGCTGATGTCTGTCAGCTGAAGATCAGCTGTGAGAGTGGGAGATCTCCAGGCCCCACCTGGAGGCTGGCAACTTTATTAGCCCAGTAGCACTAATCTGGTGTTGAGAACGACACCTGCCCTAAAGTGACCCCTTCAGCTCTCTTGGGTGTCTACTTTCTCTGCAAGGAGTGACCCCACCAGTCTTAGTTATGACATTTGTTAGAGTGAACTCAGCAAGCATACTGAAGGCGGTCAATTAGGATGGACTTTTCTGAGGCATCTAATTGATTTGGGAGCACAACTCCCAAAGACTTTTACAGGAGGATAATTTGGGGCTCCTGACTATCAGGCCTTGTACATTTTCCCACAACAAGCTCACATATCCCTTTCTTTTAGGGTTCCCCCACCCCCACCCCGGAAGTTTATATAATAAGCCAGAACACAAACAAACCACGCAGCCAGATGTTCTTCCTCCTCGTGTTTTTCCTGCAGTTATTCCCAGTGTTCCGAAGCTGTGAACAAGCAGCAGATATCTATTTCTTTCCCAGAATGCTTGGGAGAGAACAGTTTGGAGAGAGGGAAATTGTTGCCAAAGAAGGCAATGGCCACAGTAAAATTTGCAACCACAGGCAATTCAAGGTAACCACTGGCTGAGGGGTGCAGGGAACGGATGCTTACTCTAGGACATCCCGATTGAATTGCTTCTTGCTGTTCCCCAGGAACTCCCCGATCATCTGGCGGCTGAGACCTTTGCGCTGGAGCAGGAAGTGTGCCACTCCGATAGGTGTGTCTGGGATGAAGCCCCGAGAGATAAGGAACTGGATCCCCTTGTCTGGATTTCTGGAAAGGAAGAAGAGGTAACGGTAAGCTACATGTTTACATTAGGGCAAAGAACACAACCAGGGGTCATTTCGTAGAAAAAGAGCTAGGGGGACTCATTAGCATAACTCATTAGCATATGCCACACCCCCTGACATCACCGGATGTGTGTCCTCCCCACAGCCGGCGGCGACCTCCAGCGGGCACCAGCAGGGAGCTCCAGGCCCCGCCCTCCCGCACCTCACCCGGGGGGATGGCGTCCCCCCGCGTCCCCCCCCAAATGACCCCTGAACACAACTATTCTGAGTGCATTCCTTGTGTGATCAGAAATAGGGTCTTTGGCCTTTTTCATCACAGTGTTGCAGGGGAAGGAGGGAAGGCAGCAGATGGTGTAGCCTCAGATCTCAGAAGCTAAGCAGAGTCTGTACTCGGAAGGGAGACCACCAAGAAAGACTCTGCAGAGGAAGGGAATAGCAGACTCCACCTGCTTCTCACTTGCCTTGCAGGGTTGCTAGGTCGTTTCCGTCTGCCAGCGGGGGGTGGGAGGGGGTTCCCAGGAGTGGGGGGCAGGGCAACATCACCACCCACAACATCCCCAATGTGATGATGTCACTTCCGCGTGATGTCATCATGCCGGGGATGTCACATCTGACCATGGCTATTGGGGCAGGGCTTTCCCCAACAGCCAGCAGGTTGGCTGTGGGCTGGAGCCCCTCAAGTTGGGGGATCCCCTGCTCCTACCTGGGGGTCTGGCAACCCCTCTTGCCTTGAGAGCACATTGCTGGGGCCATCATAAGTCAGTTGCAACTTGACAGCATTTTATGCACACATTGTAGGGTAGAATCAGGTGTGAGGCCAGGAAGGAAGAATGATAACAGGGCAAAAAGATATGATAACCTTGCTACAGATAGCCCGATCTCGTCAGAGCTCGGAGGCCAAGCAGGGTTGGCCCTGGTTAATATTTGGATGGGAGACCACCAAGGAAGCCCAAGGTCACTACATACAGGCAGGGAAAGGCAAACCACCTCAGAACGCCTCTTGCCTTGAAAACCCTACAGGGTTGCCATAACTTGGCTGCAACTTGAGGGCACTTTCCACCACCACCACCACTGTGGGAACAGAGTTCCTGGACTGGGCCCTTGTCACAAAAGTCAGGATCTTGCTGCCTCCCTTCCACATATCTGGCCCCGCACTTATTGTAGCACAGACGTGAGACACCTAGTGCCCCATTTCAGAGATGAAACAATTTAATTCTTATCATTTCCTCCACAGATGAATAGCGTCAGTTGTCCTTAAACCCACCAGAGAACTACAGTTCCCAGGATTCCTGGAAGGAAAACATGCCGTTTGATTTTGTTTTGTTTGTGGTACTGAAACGGCAGCCACACAAAGCTGTTTCAGATAAAGAAGTTTAAATTGCCCAGGGTTTCAAATGTTTGCTTTTGTGATTGGTGGGCTGCTGTTTAATTATTGTTGTATCCTTTGTGCATTCATAGAACGGGAAAGTGCCATCTTTTTCTTTTTTGCCATCCAGTCACAGATGACTTATGGTGACCCCTGGTGGGGTTTTCAAGGCAAGAGACGATTAGAGGTAGCTTGCCATTGCCTGCCTCCACAGCATGACAACTGAGAGCCAGTTTGGTGTAAAGGTTGAGAATGGCGGACTCTAATCTGGAGAACTGGATTTGATTCCCCATTCCTTCACGTGCAGCCAGCTGGGTTAACTTGGGTCAGTCAAAGTTCTCTCAGAGCTCTCAAAAGCAGTTCTCTCAGAGCTCTCTCAGGCCCACCTACCTCACAGGGTGTCTGCTGTAAGGAGAGGAAGGGAAGGAGATTGTAACCTGCTCTGAGACTCCTTCAGGTAGTGAAGGACGGGGTATAAATCCAGTCTCCTCCTCCTCCTCCCCCTGTTCTTCTTCTTCTTCTTCTTCTTCTTCTTCTTCTGGTATTCCTTGGTGGTCTCCCATCCAAATACCAGCCCTAGGCTAACCCTGCTTGTAAGTTAATCATCACAATAACAAACAATGAAGAGTTGGGCCCTGATTTGTGGTTTGACATCATATCTGAGAATTTGGTGTAATGTCTCCCTAAAAGAGACCCAGTCCCTCCGTGAGATGCCAGTGATTAATCATTATTGCTATTCTTGCCTGAAGCTGAGTTTCTACACTATCTGAGCAGAAGTTATGGTGCTGCAGACAGCAGCTGTGGGGCAGGCACCATTTGCCAATACTGTTCCTCGTCTTCCTTCAGCACCACGCACTTCATTCTTGGGCCTGTGCTGTCGCAGAATTCAGCTGGCAACATTTCCCTCCTGTTTTTTCTGAGTAGCTCAGCAAGGTTGGCCGCTTGTGCTATGGAATTCCTACAGCTCCCCTGGCTTCCCCTTCCGCCTACAGAGATGGTCGCCCACACAGATAACTGCGATGAGAGAAACACCGCATAATGAGGTTTTTCTCTCCATGCCAGGAATCCCACCCACTTGCCGTGGGACGTGTTGTTGTTTGAAGTGCCGAGTTGCAAATGCAGCCCATCAATTCACGGGAGCTTGTCACAATTCAGAATATTACTCAATAATGGCTCGTGAGGGGAGCGAGATGATTGACGACACGGGGAAGCAGGCCACGGAAGAGACCTCTTGGGCCACATAGACCCAATTTTGTGCTGGGCAGCAGTTCTAACACGGGAGGTAAGCCACCGGTGTTATTAAATCCTGTCAGGTAGGTTTATGTAACCAAGCAGCCTGGCATTTATTAGTGGGAGCAATAAGTATTGTTGTTCAGTGGGGACCATTTCCTATAACTGAGAACTCATATATGCAATCACACAGTGAAAAGGAATCACATTAAAGCCCATTTGGCAACCAGGTCATTGTTTTTATTATCACTAAGAGTATTGCACAAGAGGTAATTAATTCCACGGGGGGGGGAGCTGGAGGGGGGAGAAGAAACAAGCTGTGATCGTGACTCAAAATGAGGTGTGTGGTGGGGGGAGGAGGCCAGGTGGAATATGCTGGAAATGCTTATCAGAAGCAAGGATTTCCTTGTTTATGGAAGGACTTAAGGTCAAGTCAGGGGTACGCAGTGCTCAGTAGGGTGGCCATATTCTGCAAATTAAGGTACCCTTTTTATCATTCGGAGCTGTAGTGGCTCAAGTGGTTAAGACGCTGAACTGCAGGCTGTGGAAGGTCAGTAGTTCAGCAGTTCGAGACCCGAGTTGCCACATGACGGAGTGAGGTCCCGTCTCTAGTTCCAGCTCCTGCCAACCTAGCACTTCGAAAGCAAGAAATTGCAAGTAGATAAATAGGGACCACTTCAGTGGGAAGGTAACAGCGTTCCGTGTGCCTCGGTGTTTAGTCATGCCGGCCACATGACCACAGAAACGACTTCGGACAGCGCTGGCTCTTCGGCTTTGAAACGGAGATGAGCACCGCAACCCTAGAGTCGGACTCGACTGGCTTTCGAGCAAGGGAACCTTTACCTTTACCTTTTATCATTCAGCTTGAAAGAGGAGAGCCTGCTTTATTTATTGACTCCATTTATACCCCACTTCCCCCCCCCAGTGGGGAGACAACATTCTCCCCTTCCCCATTTTATCCCCACCACAGTAGGCTCAGAGGATGTGACTGGGCCAGGCTTTCATGGCAGAGAGAGGATCTGAACCTGAAATCTTCTGGAGCTTGGCCTGACACTCTAACCACAACACTAACTGCCATCATTTCTTCATTCTCAGGATCAGTAGTAGGCAGTAGGTGAATGACGATTTCTATATTAGTAAGAGAATCTATATATTCATTACAGCAGTGTAGTGTAGTGCAGTGGTTAACAATGGCACGGTGTAGTGGTTAAGAAGAAAGATAAGAGAAGAGACTGGATTTATACCCCGCTGTTGTGTATTAACCGCGGGCCGCGCACGTGGTCGGGTTCGCAGGCAGTCATGCAAAATAGCCAAGCTTCGCTAACTAGAACAATAGCTGGCTAGGATCCTGAAACAGACCAATCGGTCAGCCCTGGACTCGACCTATGGGTGTTGGTACACTATAATAGCCTATCACGGGATGTGTGTGTGTGGGGGGGTGTTTTGGGGATTTAAGCAGGACACCGGCCCTGCTAGTTTGTCTTCAGTCTTGAGTGCAAAATAAACTATGAGCTGATTTCACTATTCAGCGCATCTGAACCCAGTATATTACACCCGCCCTTCACTCAGTGTAGTGTGGCGGACTCTAATCTGGAGAACCAAGTTTGATTCCCCACTCCTCCACATGAAGCCTGCTGGGTAGGGACCTTGGGTCAGTCACAGTTCTCTCAGGACTCTCTCAGGCTGAGTTCCGACAGGCAGTTTGCCCCGATATAGGCACGTGTGAGGAACGTTTCACAACCAGATTAAAGGGGCAGTTCACACAGGCACATCTGTCCGGCGTTCCCCACCCGTACTCAACCCGTCTTGTAACGCTTCGCTCCCGAGTTTAAAAGATATCTGGTGAAAGTGGGAGCAAACTCTGGAAAGCGCGATTATCCCACACCAACAAAGTGTGAATGCCAAAAGCTGCATTTTTCTTATGCGCTCATGCGCATAAGCGCATATCTCCAGATTACAAAAAAAAGCCGCGCCTTACAGCCCTGCCTCTGGGCCAACAGTGTGAATGCTCCCTTGAGCCTCCTCCCCAGTATGCTCCCACATCAGTCACTGCAGTGTGAACTTTTTTGTCACGACTCCCTCCCGCTTCAAACTGCCCGTCTGAACTCAACCTCAGTCTCATCCAACTCACAAGGTGCCTCTTGTGGGGAGAGGAAGGGAAGGAGATCGTAAGCTCTGCTTTGAGACTACTTAGGGTAGAGAAAAGCGGGGTATAAAAACCTGCTCTTCTTCTTCCAGAACAGCCTCTTCCTCCTCTGAGCTCATAGCAGATTGGCAATCTGGGGCTGCCACTTAGGCTCCATTAATGACCAGCAAGAATAATACTAACGTCAGATTGGATCTCATGCCAGCCTGAGTGGTCCCCTACTGCCTGCTGCCCTGACCTG